GACCATCGTAACTCAAAGTAAGGAAACATCAGATTAACCCAACAATGACCATCGTAACTCAAAGTGAGTTAACATCAGATTAACCCAACAATGACCATCATAACTCCGAGTGAGGAAACATCAGATTAACCCAACAATGATCATCGTAACTCCGAGTGAGGAAACATCAGATTAACCCAACAATGACCATTGTAACTCAAAGCGAGGAAACATCAGATTAAGGCAACAATGACCATTGTAAATCAAAGTGATGAAACATAAGATTAACCCAACAATTACCATTGTAACTCAAAGTGAGTGAACATCAGATTAACCCAACAATGACCATCGTAACTCAAAGTGAGGAAACATCAGATTAAATATTCACACAGTGCAGTAATTAACGTTGTTTAGATTTCAGATACAAACTTGTTTGTTTATACCTAAATGACGTTATACCCCTGGTGACAAGGGTAGTTATGTTTCTGTTTCTTCAGTACATATGACAGGTTACAGAACTACCAGCCCATTGTTGTTGTTTTTTTCAGAGTGAAATAACCTCACGAGGTGCGATGATGGCATGTTTATTTTTTTCATGTGATCGGTGAAACTAAATTTCTACCCCATGATGATTGATTGTGATTTATAAACATTCACATAAATACATTTTAAAGTATGACCTACTCATTCAGACCCATATTTTATACTTGAGGATTTACGGTGTTTTATATAAATCACAAACAATTGTCATTCGTATGATGTCTAAAACTATCTCTGAAAAACACAATACAGAGAAGGTAAACATTTTACAGATTTTCTTTCCTTGAAGAAAATAAGATAAATTGTAAACCTAATGTATTGTTATTGGACATAATTTACTGGTACCTTAAGAATATCAAATACACATTTCTGTTTTATACTTAAAAGGAATGTAAATATTATCTTCATAGCTTATAGTTATACCAGGGCTATGCAACTTCTTTGTGTGGACACGGAGCGAGAAAAGGATCTCAACATTTGCCAGTGCCACAGTGACACTACATTTGATAACTACATATACAACTATAAGTTGGAATTTAAATGACTGAATTATTATGGCATTTTCTTTTGATTTTGACTTCATTGTTGCACTTTGTACAAAAACATGAAAATTAAATTTCAGGACATATTTGATGCCAAAATTAATCAAACTGATATTCAGAATGAGAAATGCTTTATATTTTCAAATAGTGAAACAGTGCTCAAAAGTCAGCAGGACCTATATTTCAAAACAAAACAAAAAGTAAACGTTACAATCAGGGAGTTGTCGTAATATTGATGCAAAGTTTTAAAAACTCATGATAATTTATAAAGTTGAAGCGAAAATCCTATTTCCAAATTTACACCACAAATGTATGCCTTGTGACCTGTTGTGTAACTCTTCATTCACTCCATTATTTCCATAAAACTAGAAAATGTTTGTAAGACATGAAAACCCCCTTTGCGACAGTGACCTTTGGACTTGAAATGCAAACTCTTACTCAACTGAGGTATTCTCATAACTGAACTTGGTATAAAATTTGATAAAGATCTATAAAGAAGTGAAACTCAGTGTAATCATAACAATGAGTCATCAGGGGACAGGATGGGAGGGGATCGATATGCATGGGTAACAATGAATCATCAGGGGTCAGGATGGGAGGGGATCGATATGCAAGGGTAACAATGAATCATCAGGGGTCAGGATGGGAGGGGATCGATATGCATCGGTAACAATGAATCAACAGGGGACAGGATGGGAGGGGATCGAGATGCAGGGGTAACAAGGAATCATCAGGGACAGGATGGGAGGGGATAGATATGCATGGGTAACAAAGAATCATCAGGGGACAGGATGGGAGAGGATCGATATGCATGGGTAACAAGGAATCATCAGGGACAGGATGGGAGGGGATTTATATGCTTGGGGAACAATGAATCATCAGGGACAGGATGGCAGGGGATCGATATGCATGGGTAAAAATGAATCATCAGGGACAGGATGTGAGGGGATCGATATGCATGGGTAAAAATGAATCATCAGGGACAGGATGTGAGGGGATCGATATGCATGGGTAAAAATGAATCATCAGGGACAGGATGAGAGGGGATCGATATGCATGGGTAAAAATGAATCATCAGGGACAGGATGTGAGGGGATCGATATGCATGGGTAAAAATGAATCATCAGGGACAGGATGAGAGGGGATCGATATGCATGGGTAAAAATGAATCATCAGGGACAGGATGAGAGGGGATCGATATGCATGGGTAACAAGGAATCATCAGGGACAGGATGGGAGGGGATCAATATGCATGGGTAACAATGAATCACCAGGGACAGGATGGGAGGGGATCGATATGCATGGGTAACCACTATAGGCCTCTCCTTCATAAAACCGAGGAGCATAAAAATAATATGGGTTAGCAATGACAACTACAGCCAACTTTGACTATCGTGATGCTTTAGCTCATACAATTGTGGTTTATTGTTGTTACGATACTGGGTACCAAATTAGCGCGTGTCAAGTGATTGTACAGATTCTATTTTATGTATTTTACCTAAAATGTAATAAATTGATTAAATCATGGAAGTTATTTTGTATTATTATTCTATTGAATATAAAGGATTCCAGTAGGTGACAAGACAAAACTTAATGACTGAACAACAACCCATTGCTCTAAGGCTATGGGAGTTGTATTATGGTATTCAGGTAATCCATTGGGCAACATTTCATGTGTTTTTGCCATTTTATTTGTATCCAGGAATCAGTGAACAAGTGTTGCTATCTAAAAGCTTTTCTTGTATCTTCCAGCTCAGTATATTGCCCTTGCTGCACAGAAAAAAATATTTTATGGTACCAAATCTTCCATTTTACTGCATATACAAGTATTGTCAAGAGTAATTGAAGACTTACCTCCCCTTTGTCCGCTTTCATTCCCTGACCTTTGTAGGCATACATAGCTTTGACTTGGGGTATTTTTCGGGTTTCTACGACATCTTGGATGACCTCTCTTTCTACAACCTCTTCCACCTCTATTTCATGAGGAACGTCAACCAGCTCCTCTACAAGTTCCTCCTCATCAGAATTTTCCCCGTTCTCCTGGGGCATGAACTTATCAGGTGAAATCTGCAAGGATAAAATTTAATTTTATATGCAAAAGTATATCAAGATCATACGAAAAAATGTATTCAGTAAGTTCAATTTCTGTACATTACCTATTCTCTTTGAGACCAATGATACGCCAGTCATTAACTCTGATGATGATAAAGATTGCTTAAATGTTAACAGAAATTTCATGTGTGTATTGTTTATAACTGACAGTAAATTAGTAAATTTGTAAACCAAACAAATGATAATAAGTACAGTAAAGTTTTATGGAAGGTTGTCAAACATTAGATTTGGACAGAAATATGTTGCATTGAGCTTAGCGTTCATACTTACGTTGTGTTCACTGGCCGCCTTGGTCATCAACTGAGCGAGTTCATCAAGTCGCATTATTTCAGACTTGAATCCTCGGACCTCTTCTTCCAATCGGTTATGCCGAGATAAGAGAGCCTGGAGAAGAGAAAATGATTAGGGTAGGAATTATCTAGACACAGACCAATGTAAAGATGTAAACACTAAAGCAAGAGTAAGATTTATGTAAAAGGTAAGCAAAAGATCACCATATATCTGATTGTGTAAAATACAAAATAATCAAATTTACTTCTCAAATAAAATTTGCATAAAAAGAAACAACATAGTTGTAGTTGCTACAGGGTAAATATTCTCCTAGAAAACCAAGTTCCCTTAAACCTGATAAAATACTTATTTCCATTTTTGCATGACTTGAAAACAAAAGACTTGATCACTGAACTGACCTAAAAAAAAAAGTCTGTGATAACATTGAATGGGGACGTTGTGTAGAAAAGACCCACAAGAGTCTAACTCCAGCCCTAAGGTACATGTAGATTTAATTTTAAAAGAGTTAACTTGACATTCTAAACTATCGTCTGTTGCGTAAGTTTTACTGCAAAAATATATGAAATCAAAGCTTGAAATTGTCAAGAGATATTTGGCCATATTGCCTTAGAATCATTTTCCACCATATAAATGCAGGCAATAATTTATAGCACAACCCCCATTCTCCCTGGAGATGTGTTTTCAAACTAGTGTAAGTTTCTGAGGTTGACATTCATGAGATAACATGAATCACACAGATTTGGATTTTCTGTAACCAATCATCAAATGGGAAATTTTAACTGAGTCCAATCAATAGCTAGTTGTAGTAGTGATAGTTCATTAATTTGCAGACATTTGGTATTAAAAAACTTAAAACACAAGTTTTTGAAATATTGCAATATACAGTGTAGTGATATTTCCTTTTTGCATTGCAATGCATAAAGATAAATGTAATACGATAATCTTGTGTTTTGCCATATACTGGCCTGGAGATCAGGAAATGATCTTAAGTCTAAACTTGTCTAAAATTTAAACTAAATCAATCACAAAATAACATCTTGAAAAATGACGCCATACATGGTTGGCCTAGCAAAAACAGTCTAAGTTGGTTTCATGATCCCAGGGTCAGTTTTTCACTTTACATTGTGATAGCCTTAAAAGTAAAACCCTTGCGAGTTTTCTTTCTTTTCAAAGCTTAAAAAATAACAGCAAGAGTAAGATAAACATGATAAATAATATTCATGAGATGTATAACTTATAACCACCATGGTTTTTACTGTAGATTGATCAGCATTGTTGTAATACATGACTGAGTAATATCTGTTTAACGGAGAATCACAAACCGCCACATCATTAGTTCGAGATTATAACCCATCCAAGTGACGGTACTTCGGGAAGGTGTAAATCAACTTATTGATTACCACTTGTTTACTTTACACCTCTGCCATTTAATTGATAGCCAGGGAGTGGATGAACCACTAGGCCTCTGTGACAGACAAAGAACCACTAGGCCTCTGTGACAGACACAGTGACAAATAACACTTTCTGTACCATTACCAAGAATGTGGAATGTTTTCTACCTAGGAATCATTACACAGAATGCTGACATTTACCTGCGAGTTGGCCTCATCTCGACCGTAATCGTCACTGGTAACAATAGGCATCTTCTCCCTCATCCACGACTCTGCCTCGTTGGCGTCAGCATAGTACTGTAAGGAACAACAATACACTATACTTCAGTGGCCTTCAGATACATTGTAAATCTGCTACTCATTATTTATCATTTCTAATTTATTTAAACACTAAATCCTTTCATTTTAATATCACATCCCTCTGAAATAGAAATAATCTATTTCTTCCAAACAAATTCACTTCAAGGTCCTATCCATAAAATACCCCCATTTACTCTTTAGATAAAGATATGATTACAGAGATACACTTACATTTGCTCACATGTTATTTTTGTAACCTTATCTGAGGTCTTTACACTAGATTTTCTCTGTAAGTACCTGATGAGCCTCAATGCCGTCCTCTATCTTTGTTTTCATGAGTTACATGTTATTTTTGTTCTGAGGTCACTAGATTTTCTCTATAAGTACCTGATGAGCCTCAATGCCGTCCTCTATCTTGGTTTTCCTGAGTGCAGCCAACTCCTTGAGTTGTTTCCACTTGTCCATCAGGCTGTTGATCTTGGAGCCAATTTCTGAACGTGCCTTGTGCCCACTGTTGACCAGGTCTTGTCCTACTCCACACATCTGCTCGCACCATGGCCATCGTCCGTGCATCTCTGCTTCAAGGGCCTGAGGAACACAAGTAGAAATAACGCTTTATTTACTGATGACGAACATCAAAAATATAAATTTAATGTAAAATTGTTTAAAGAATTGTTTTGGGTTTTTTCACAATAAAGCTGTATTGATGAAAAGTTAAAAAGATCAGAAAAACAGATCTGGTCAGCACTGATCTGTCTCAAGATTGATAATGAAAGTGCTAATGTTTACAGATTTACATATTTATGACCTTTATAAATCGAGCAAAATCTTCTCAAATGTCCTTATAAAACCCTGTATAACTTTTCTTAATTATCTGATGATTTACCCATTTCTATACAAATATTTATCCAATCTTTACCTCATGTTTCTTGAGCAGTACGAGAGCAGCATTGAGATTTTTGCCAATATTTGAGGACCGGCAGGCATCTATTTTTTCTAGGACCCATCTCTCCTCTTCCTCAGCGTCCTGTAGGAACTGGTAGTATTTCTTGGCAACATCCAGACCTTTGTGGCGGACGTTACTCTGGTCATTCACCCTGTGTAGGTAATCAGATGTTTGTCAACAAGTCACCAATAACATATTTCTGTTCTAACTGGCGAAGTTTAGAACTATTAATGGAAAACGTCTGCCTTGAAACAAGACAATGAACGTTCCTTACTCCGACCACCTCTTCAGCATATGTTTGAATTTTAAAAACCCATCATGTTTTCATTCTCATATTTCTGCATGATGTATGCCCGAAAATTTTCACAATAGTATAACTTTTTGCCTCCGTAAAGAGGGCAAATTTATTATTGCAGCGAGTATTAGTATACATTGTACAGTGTCTAGTAATCACATGTGAAGGGCGCAATCAAAATGGGGCTAATATGAATTTTACCGGCGAAGGGTGAAAGTTTAACTCGGCGAAACTTTCCAGGTATACAGTGTATGGGCCTCTAGACAAGAGTACTGTAAACCATACATATTACACCTGCTGACACCACCGTGGGAGTCAGGCTGAAAGTATGGTAAATACATATCTCAGGCTGAAAGTATGGTATATACATATCTCAGGCTGAAAGTATGGTAAACATATCTCAGGCTGAAAGTATGGTAAACATATCTCAGGCTGAAAGTATGGTATATACATATCTCAGGCTGAAAGTATGGTAAACATATCTCAGACTGAAAGTATGGTAAACATATCTCAGACTGAAAGTATGGTATATATATCTCAGACTGAAAGCATGGTATACATATCTCAGACTGAAAGCATGGTATACATATCTCAGACTGAAAGCATGGTATACATATCTCAGACTGAAAGTATGGTATACATATCTCAGACTGAAAGTATGGTATACATATCTCAGACTGAAAGTATGGTATACATATCTCAGACTGAAAGTATGGTATACATATCTCAGACTGAAAGTATGGTATACATATCTCAGGCTGAAAGTATGGTATACATATCTCAGGCTGAAAGTATGGTATACATATCTCAGGCTGAAAGTATGGTATATATATATCTCAGGCTGAAAGTATGGTATATATATCTCAGGCTGAAAGTATGGTATACATATCTCAGACTGAAAGTATGGTATACATATCTCAGACTGAAAGCATGGGATACATATCTCGGACTGAAAGTATGGTATACATATCTCAGACTGAAAGTATGGTATATGCATATCTCAGACTGAAAGTATGGTATACATATCTCAGGCTGAAAGTATGGTATATATATCTACTTAATCTTATGCGATAATACTTACATGTATGTTAAGCTTACATATGTGTGTGCAAACAAGCAATTGCAGGCTATGGTGGTAAGAAATAAGAAGCAAGTTTTATTGATGAAATTTGGTTGAAAACTTTCCCATCATCATGTTAAGTTTCGGAAGCTGTGACATTCACGTTTATCACCCTTTTCAAGAGAATTAAAGATTTCTTCAGGATAGGAAAATGTTCCTACCTTCTCTGAAGTAAGGAATTAAATGCTTCTTAAACTATTATAAGCCTGATTGATGTTAATATTGGTTATATTGGTTTTAAGACCCTGAAAGAGACATAAATATTTCATTGTTGTTACAGGTGTAAATTATAATAATTCAAACGATTACTAGCTACAAATTAATTTGAGGTAAGTGCTTGTTTTACAGGTATTTAATATACGAATGAGTTACCTACCTATCATAGACCTTGTTAACATCACCGAGCCTCTGTTCTAGGACGGTACCCTCCGGGTGGGAGGAGTCTATGGAGCTTTTTGAGCGGCGGTTAAGGTTGCGGACTCGCTTGCCGAGAGCGTTGAGTTGTGTCTCAGCCAGACTGTGCTGCTGAAGGTACTCTTCTACAGCCTGGAGATGCTTACCATACTCATCTATCTTCACCTTATTCTGTAACATAACATCTTACATCAACTTCTGTATTATTTCTGAAAACACCTGGAAGAATTTGTATGAAGGACATCATTGGAAATCCAACCTGAAGAGATTATGTACTTGAGACGTTTCAGGCTTTGCATAGGATCTTACTATAATCTGTAACCAAACAGGACGGATTTGAGTAACCTCCAGGGTCCGTATTCATTTGGAGACCCTTCAAGCCAAATACTGTTTTAGATGTTTACAATTGACATCTTGATTGCGTCACGTTTTAAGCAACAAAAATGGATCGTAAACAATGGAAAACATGTCACATCAATAATAAAACAATGGAAAACATGTCACACCAATAATAAAACAATGGAAAACATGTCACATCAATAATAAAATAATGTCACAATCACTGAATATGAACCAAGGCTACCAGAGGTTACATTGTTTTCAATATTGCACTGTGCATTCATTTCAAATTATTGATGAGCAAGAAATAAAATTGGTCTTAATTTTGTTTGTTAGTTTAGATAAATTCTTTGAGACTTGATTGACAAGCTATCAGGATCACAGTATACGATATGTGGTTAAATAGTGTAAATGTCTTAAATGCTGAAACATCTACATTCAGAGAAGAATTTCTCTATATAGTACAACTTGTATACTATGAACATGCTTAATATGAAATCATGATTGAAAGGTATTCTAAATTTAAGTTTCAACAAATTTTGCCTTCAATGAAGACATTTCTTAGGTTCCCTGTAATTTGATATATACAACTTCGGAGGAAGTTTTTCCTTCTGTATATTTTGAAACACTGAAGTGATGTGATGTCATTACCTCTACTTCTCGGAGTTCCTCCTGGATACTTTCTATTTCTCGGAACATATTCATAATGTTGTTGAAGCCGGACAGTGTTAGCTTCCTCTTCTCCAATTGGTCGAGGAGAGCCTGCCATTTCTTGGCAATCCTTTCATCTCTGCAAATGTAGGGTAGTGTATGCAGGGTTATTTTACAGCTCTCTAAGTATACATTTTATTGACCTTCCACTGTGCAAAATTGCTTCATTAACAATTCTTCAAAAACAAAATCTGGAGAAATAGCTATCATTCAAAGTGTACTTACACTAAGATACTGTGAAGACCATGTGATATTTTTAACACTATTACTTGCATTAATTTTCATTTGTCCTATTCAATAAGAGACAATGCTCTCCAGTAATGATACTACTCAATACATCATAAACACACTCAAATATCTATACAGAGTGGTACAACAAAATATTTACACTAATACACTTTCAGATATACAGATTGACAAGCATTGATAAGTTAATTTCCTGTTTATTTTATATTTCCTCTTTATTCTATACAAAGACCATTACAGCTTGCTACCCTTCAGGGTGTTAAAACATTTTGAAATTATTCCCTGTAACATTGCAGAAACATCATGACCAGTAGCACAGTGGGAAAGCTCCCTACTTTAAAGAAACAAAACGTTTACTGTATAACTGCGATAACATGTGTACCTAGGATCTTTGTTTACTAGTGGGCAAGACTTACTGTATAACTGTGATAACATGTGTACCGGGATCTTTGTTTACTAGTGGACAAGACTTACTGTATAACTGTGATAACATGTGTACCGGGTTCTTTGTCTACTAGTAGACAAGACTTACTGTATAACAGTGATAACATGTGTACCTAGGATCTTTGTTTACTAGTGGACAAGACTTACGTTTTTTGTACTGCTCCCTTCGCATGGTAATTTCCCTGTACAAGTTCATCGGCCAATCCTCTCAAGGCCTTGAATCTGTCTTTCTGTTAACAAAATCAGTTTAATATAAGAATAATATCATATCTTCCAGCTCAAAATTTTCTATTTTTAAGTTTTATCAATCTTGATACATTGTTCCTAATTGAACAACATTACTCAACTGATTTGCAGAGAGTTTCATATTGAAGAGAGTCTACTTGTTACATATGGTCTTTTTTAGAATCCAAATTAGTTCATTGTTAAATTGACATTTCTAGATTTGCTTATATGGGCAACCTAAACAGTTTTTCATTAAGTGGTTTTCCAAAGTTACATTGTATGTTAGAGTTACGTACCCTTGCTAAGATTTCCGCACTAATGGCCTCGTGTTTCTTCACAGCAGCTTCCACAGTGGCCACATCATCACATACAATCTTCTCGTCCAAAATCTGGCCCATGTCAGCCAGCCACGACTCACGAATCTCACCCTGCAGAGATAACCTAAGTTATACATTGTTCTAAACATGAAAACTGTACTTTATCAACTAGAACTTAGAGAAAGAATTTAACAGTAATATAACTATTCCTGTAGAAGCCCACTGTTCAGGCAAAACCGGTAGACATTTCCTAATAAATGAAACTCAGCTTATCCCGAGCTTGTTGCGATTGACTTCTTCACTTATTCCTTGACAATGTCTTAATCTAAAAGTCAAAAAACATAGCAACATGATTTTGTTTAACATCAATCTAAAGGACTCGAGTACAATATTTCAAAACACATACCTTTCTTCTGAATCTTTGGGCAAGCTGTTCAAGTCGCTCTTGTCTTGAAGAAAAATAGAGTAAATTTAGATTTTATCAACAGGAAATCCTTTTGGATCCAACTTAAATACATACATTCAACAAGGAAAAATGTTTGTCTAGTAAAAACCTTGCAACAAGATCAAATATGAATGATATGCATAAGTAAATGCATTTTTCCTCCTGAAAAATTAAATATAACCTGCCACTTAAAGAAAATGTAAGTTAAGTACATTGTAATCCAAGAATTCTGCCCTTGGTTATCCTCTACTGTATAATACAAAGAATCACAAGCGATGACACCATGTCTGGTCATCGGAGTCATTTATACCGGTCCCCCAAAACTAAATAAGTTTTGGAATGTATGGGTTTATTCCAGCTCTTGTCCAAATTCAACTGGTCTTCCTTGACATCAATCTATGATGTATTTTTTCGCCCAGTTTTTGGATGTGGAAAATCCTGTGTTGTTTAGGGCATGGAAAGATTAACATATTTAATAACATGATCATGTTTGCATTTTTCTATAGGTGTAGCTGAATTAGTGAACGCAAATGGCAAAAAAATCTTTGATTTTCAAACTACCATCAATGTCATTCATTTGACCGGTAGAATATGAGACCATAAAAGTCAGGCCACACAGCTAGGTCACTGTACCTGATCATTTCATCCCGGAGTGCCACTTCTCTTCCGTGTTCGGACTTATCCAGACAAATCCAGGCACTCTCTATGTCATGAATGAGTTGACCCTCTGGGGGGGTGTACAAAATCTGACCATTAGCCTTCAGTTTGGCCTGTATATTGAAGTACTGTGCTTCAATGTTTCCTTTTTCTCTCATCCTGTAAGAAAGCATTTGTTTTAATAATCATAAAAAAAATCTTTTTCTTCAATTACTAATATCATTGATGAAAATGAAAATCAATATCAAAATGATACCTAGAGTTACATTTCAAGAAAAACATTTGAAAACTAGAAAATGTCTGTAAGACATGAATGCCCCCGTTTACATTGAATCATGACGGGATGGGATGGGACATGGGCAACACTACATGCCCCCCTCCCCCATTTTATGGTGGGGGCATGAAAATACGTAAATCTTTGTGACTATTATACTTTGGAAGTTTCTAAACATAAATCTTTGTGACTATCATACTTTGGAAGTTTCTAAACATAAATCTTTGTGACTATCATACTTTGGAAGTTTCTAAACATAAATCTTTGTGACTATCATACTTTGGAAGTTTCTAAACATAAATCTTTGTGACTATCATACTTTGGAAGTTTCTAAACATAAATCTTTGTGACTATCATACTTTGGAAGTTTCTAAACATAAATCTTTGTGACTATCATACTTTGGAAGTTTCTAAACATAAATCTTTGTGACTATCATACTTTGGAGGTTTCTCCACAGTTCGATATTCCTTGAACTTGATCAATTCCTTTTGTATTCCTTCGCCTGAGTTAGGGAAGTTGCGGTCGTTGAGTCCTTCCACTTTCTGTACGATCCACTCAAGGAGGCGAGTTGTCAGGGTCTCGTAGTCATCTACCATGCTCTCCACATCCATCATCAGGCCCACAATCTGTGACACAGACAAAGGGAGGTAACTTAGGATAGTCAATGTGTGCTGCAACTTGGTTACAGACACTTATGTATTGGACATTGTCTAAAGTTAAAAAATAATACTGTCCAGGAAATTTACCATGACCAGGACAATCTGATATAATTTCACCATTTGTTTTTTTCAATCAATAAAAGATATCAATATTTTGGGAAGAATTCCTTCATAAAATACTAAGTTTCTCCCACTTTCCATTAAAGGCTAGAATGCTGTGGTTCAGTTTTTGTTAAAATATCATTCAGGTAAAGTGTCCATCCAATTAGGATTTCTCCATTACCTTAGCAATCCTCTTTCCACCTGTCATCTCACTCTTCATCTTGGCAAAGTAATGATAGTAGGATGCTACGTAAGTAATGATGGATTTCTCATCTGGCCGGTTCACGTCCACATCTGTTTACACAACAATCAACAGGTGTAAAACGGACATCATTATCTCAGTTACAAAACAATCAATAGGTGTATAACGGACATCATTATCTCAGTTACAAAACAATCAATAGGTTTATAACGGACATCATTATCTCAGTTACAAAACTATCAAAAGGTGTATAACGGACATCATTATCTCAGTTACAAAACTATCAATAGGTGTATAATGGACATCATTATCTCAGTTACAAAACAATCAATAGGTTTATAACGGACATCATTATCTCAGTTACAAAACTATCAATAGGTGCATAACGGACATCATTATCTCAGTAACAAAACTATCAATAGGTGTATAACGGACATCATTATCTCAGTAACAAAACAATCAACAGGTGTATAACGGACATCATTATCTCAGTAACAAAACAATCAATAGGTGTATAACGGACATCATTATCTCAGTTACAAAACAATCAATAGGTGTATAACGGACATCATTATCTCAGT